GTTTATAAAAAAAAAAGGGAGGAAAAACAGTCCTTGAAGTCGCTAATATTTGAAATTCAAATATTTGAATTTTAGTCCCAACGATCGAGCTATTTACCAGTATGACTGACAATGTGTGACCTTCAATTTTCGTTGTCATTGTTGGACAACAATGATCCCTTAGAGCTGAGTATTAAATGAGAGCTAAATAAAAACACAACACAGTTCTGGAGGCAAAAAATATATATTGAATTAAAATTATATATTTTTTATCATTTTGTGACAGCGTTGGTAATGCCTGTCACAGGGCGTTATTTTTCTCCTCTTCATTTAAACAGCTCTAATCTCCTTATTAACCGTTACCAGTGTTCCTCTCTGTCACCTAGTTGAAAACCCCTTAGTGATTTGCTCATTAGTAAAATCATAATATCTTTATCTTGTCCCTTCACACACAAAAAACGCAAAGGTCTGCTACATGTCTGTTGTGAAGTGTTCAGATTACTCTATAAGGTGTTACTACAAGCAAATTTAAATTGCCTATAATATTGATGTCTCCTGCTAAGCAGTTGTCAATAGATTATCATAGAATAATGCAGAAGCAAACACCACCACCCCCCTTTGGAACAGACTTTGCAAAAACTCCTTTTCCAGGTGTGCTGAGTCAAAAACAGATTATGTCTCCTGCTCATTTATCTTGCACATATTTAGTTCCACTCTTTTCTTAATTTTTAAAATTGTTTTAGTCCACGTTTACAGTGCATAATGCTCACATTTCTTGTGTGAGGTTGGTACAGGCAATACATCTTAATTCCCCTTTTCAACCTTTTTCCTTTCCTCCTTCTTTCCCCTCCCTCATTCTCTTCACCTCCTTCTCCTTTGGAAAAGATTTATCTCCCTACTTCCTACTGTCTACATTTTATTTTGCTCTTTATTTGTATTTTGGGCTTCTTCTATTAAACAAAGCATTTGTTTGTACTCTGTACCCACTTGCTAGACTCCCTCAAGACTGGCTCAGGAAACGAATGTGTTTGTGGATCCCTGGTCTGCCCAGCACAGTTAATAATTTCTTCCCTCATGTTAACCCACTGCCTCCCTTGACACGCGTATGATCTGTAAGAGAGCACTGGCCTTATATCTTCATTTAGTTCTATATTTCGATGTCACTAGAACCTGGTGTATGGAATGATGGATAGTAAATGCCAAGTTCATAATTTAGAATTTGATGGGAATTAAATAAAAATAAAAAACCGAAAGTTATAGGTTAATAGACTTATTTAGTTTAATAAGATAAACTTAATAGATTTGTAGATAAGTAAAAGGCATAGATTTTTTTATATTAGTACAGCATAAATTTTAGTGATGGATTTCTTGTGTTTTTAAGAAAGGAGAAGTAATACAACAATTCATATTTTCTCATCTTCAAGAAATTATTCAGTTATTTAACTATAACGTGTTATTTTTATAAGATTAGATATGTTATCTGTTAGATGCATTACTGAAACATTTGGATAAAATTTTAAGTAAGGTCTTCACAACTAGAATCAATCTATAAAATCAAATAATTGAATTCATGGAATACTACCAAATATTATTAATTTTAGAAAATTTTTGTATGAGAAAATTACACCTAGGTATAATATATCTTTAATCCTTGCTACTTGTTTTAGTTATGTACTGTAAAGTCACTATGAACACCGAATTAGGGAATAAAGAATATTGATGAACCACAGGGTTAGGTTTTTGTAAGAATTAGTTACAAAATGAATGACCAGTACAGTTTTTAAAAATGTGCCTACACATTCACACTGAACTCACGGCCAATGACACTGTCACTCATGTTGGAACAGAGCTTATCCAGCACTTCTTTATTTTCTCCCTCAGACACCTCACAGCACTTAGGACCACCAGGTAGGACAGCAAAACTAAGCTTGAGGGCCATTTTAAAAAGCAAAATCAAAAGCAAAGAGGACAAAAATGCAAAAACACAACACTGAATGGACCACAAAGAGCTAGCTGTTTGTAATATGAGCACTAAAGTCAGAAGGTAGAATATTGCCTTGTTAAACCTCAGAATACTCTAAGAACATCCAGTTGAGCCTCTCAAATTCTTTGACACTTTGCACAAGTCTCCAAATGCCTGTGCAAGTGCTGCCAGTATGGATTTGGGGTTATCAAAACATTTGAGCAAGCAGAACAATTTACAAATGGAGTATCTGGGGAAAATGAGGACTGACTATATCCTTGTCATCCTACTTGTGCACATTGAATAGATCCATCAGCACTGTTTCTCTTTCTCGGAAGACAGTAAGCTTGGCATTCACGGGACTTGACAAAATAGTTGTGCTATTAAGAAGGACTAAATTGTTGGTGGCATTGAAAGGTGGGAAAATATATTGAGAGTCTAATCTTCATACCTGGCTTCTTGAGCTACTTGACCCTCTCCCACATGAGTTATGTATTATATAGTTGATTTTTCACTATTTGTGACAGTTTTGTATTATAAAGTCACCATGAACCCTAACTCAATAATGTTTATCTGCATTGCTTTGCCCTCTTGTATGGATGTAGGAAAAAAAAAAAAACCCAGTAAGTGGACTGAATTAAATGATCTGTGAGCTAATCTAGAAATGCATACTAAGATCAAGTTTACATTTACACAATCTAAAACAGTTTCAAGCCATTTTCTGTTGGAGCACAAATAGCATTTTAAAATAAAAGTAAACCAGCTTTATAGCACTTTGAACATTATGTACAAGCTGTGTTATCACAAATGAGCCAAAAGTAAGCTGTCAATATCCCCCCTAAATCACAAATTATAGTCTAAAATTTCTACAGGGCAAACTTCTGCTACTACAGACCAGATCCTTGCATTTGTCTAACTGTTCATATTTCCAGTATTGTCCTTACAATTCCTTTATGAAAACACAAGGCAGAAATATGGTTTAGATTTGTGTGCAGCCCACTCCAAAAGTTGACCTGTTCTTATGCACTATGCCCTCTAACCAATGGGGTTATTAGTTGATTTGGGCTATAGGAATTTTAAACTGATTCTAAAAGCATTCAGGGCTCTGAAAGGTAATATTGTTAAGTATTTGTTTGCCCTAATTTTCTCAACAATTATTTTGCAAGATCGTCGCTATTTGCAAAATCAACTGCATATTACATAACTCACATGGGAAAGGGTCAAGTACCTCAAAAAGCCAGGTCTGAAGATTAGACTCTCAATGTATTTTCCCACCTTTCAATGAAACCAAATACCACATATGCCATCACTACCAGTACTGCCTTGAGTGCCTTCCAATTTATATTCAAACCTGTGATAAACATGTGTGTCCATAGTTACAGAACTTTTATGGAATAAAGATAGATTTGCTTAATTATTTTAATACTATCAGTAGTGATATAGTGACATTATAAAAGACAACCAATGCAGAGCATATTTTGTAATGAAAATCTATCATCTTTATTAAACCAGTGATACTTAATTTTACAAATAAAATCAGAGTATATGAGAATTAAGCATTAAATTAGTATTTGAAAATGGACTATAATAAAAAATTATTGAAAATGCCTAATGAAATGGGCAAACAAAGAGAGGCCTTGACTTTCACTGCAGAGTAATATTGCATGAGGAATACAACTTTCAATCTTCAGCTTATGCATTCATCTACAGATTTTCAAGGAAATTAATAATTATGAAGAAATATTTGATCCACAACTCATCTTGGGAAAGTATGGGAACATGGGCTCATTGAATGGAATGACAGACAAAGCTGTTACATCTCATTTTGAATCACTGATCATTACATTTATGTGATAAGTCACTCACTCTGTTTTCACTGAAATATACATTGCAGGAAAGGCAGATTTTTCTGTGATTTAAGTCACCAGTGTCTACCAGTACCTAGAAAAATGTCTGTTACATACACAGTTGGTACTCAAATATTTATTAAATTTGTGAGTGCAACTCTACGTACAAAATGCCCACAAGAAACTAAACACATTCAGTTTTCTCCATTACTTTAAAAATATAGACTAGCCTTATTTAAAATGTGCTCTTTAATGACTTAAGCATATTGACAATGAAAGAAGTAAGCCAGAATTCATTAACCTGACTGTATTAAAAGGTGCCATATTTCATCTCATATCTAAATACACAGTCAAATCACCTAAATAAATTCATCCTCATAGAGTTGCTCTTACACTTTTAGACAAACTTATACAAAAACATCTTCATGACCTTGAGCTAGACAAAAAGACTTTACATGCAACATTAAATGCATGTCTAAGAAAAGAAAATAATATAACAGATTGGACTGGGGCCATTTTCATATTTGCAAATCATTTCCTTGACCAAAAATCACGCATGATGAATGTATTTTAATGCTCCCAGCCAAAAAACAAAACAGTTTTTAATAACAGGGCAAAATATTTGGACAATAACATATCAAAAAACATACTGACTAGGGAGGACAAATAAACATACAAAAACGTTCAACAACATTTGCCCTAAAGGAAATGTAACAAAAAAAATAAGTACAGTGAGGAACAAGGACAAACCTATAAGAATTGGCAAAGTGAAAGAAGACAAAAATAATACCAAATTGTTGTCAAGGATGCAGAACTATTGAAAAGACATGGATTGTTGGTAAGTGATAATATATGTTTTAGAGATTGGTGTGGGTTATTTGATTCTAAAGTTTAAACAATCACCATCTAATAGAGTGATTCAGTTGCTAGTTATTTATCCCTGAAGAACTAAAACTTACCATCACACAAAAGCTCATAAATGAACATTTATAACATTTCTACTCTTCAATGTCAAAAGCTAAAGTTGTCCAAATGCCCTTCTGTGAGTGAATGCACAGTGTCAGATCTGTGCAATTGTATGGCACTCAGCAGTAAGGGCAGTAACTTGGATGGGTCACAAAGGCATTATGATGAGTAGAACACACAAGTCACAAATGGGCATAGCTGGATAATTCTATTTTAATAACCTTATAAAGACTAAACATGGTGGTAGAGAGCACATTGGTACTGCCAGGGGTAGGTATGAAGCAACATTTTGATTGTGATCTGGTAGCAGGGGAAATGTTTTAGATTGACAAATCTTCTCTTTATTGTGGTACTGGACACACAAATCTATACCTGCATGAAGTTTCACATTTTGGTTATATATACCAAAAAAGGCAAGATTGCTAATCTGGAATTTTAAAAGACAACAAAATGGTGTGGGTGTGTGTGTGTGTGTGTGTATTTAAACATCAATCTTTGAAGTTTTAAAAGACAACAAAATGGTGTGGGTGTGTGTGTGTGTGTGTGTATTTAAACATCAGCATCTTTGAAGAAATAGGGCTGCTACAAGAATTAAAAGTTTGAAGGGAGTTTCTCCTTTAAAGCACTTTAAAAGAACATTGTGCACCAAAGTGGACCCCATGAAAACTCAGCTTTATGATTGGATACCTCAGTCTTTACCAATCCAGGTATAGAAAAATTCAAGCAATTTACATTAATAAATCTTCCCAGGTCCAGGCCACCTTCCATTCCTTTTGCAACTTTAGTCCTCACAATTTTTTTCCCTCAAATGTTTATAACCTCCCATCTTTTCATCCAAAACAAACTATTTTGGTACTTCTTCTGAGGTGACACCGGCCGAGCCAGACATCTATCCTTCGCTATACAACAAAAACACCTGCATCTACTGGCGCGGAGGAAACCAATTCAGTGCTGTCCCAGCTGATGCCGACATCACCACAGATGTTGTATTGGGCCCCTAAAATAGTGAGGTCCTGACTGACTCTCCATTCAAGAGTCCTGCAACCTCCTTATTTTCCCAACCAGCCCTATTTTCCCCAGGGCACCACCTAGATATGACTGCTTACAGCTGAAATGCAATCCTGATTAAAGACCTCTTTCTTTTCTCCGCAAAGAATCCTCAGACATTTGTAAATCAATACTCTAAACCATTCCTGTAAATATGAATGAACAGATAATTCTGTGACAAATACAAGGTAGAGTTTTTTATAGCTGTCCTTAATAACATCTCTGGGTGCAGACTGAACATGAACCTAGTTGACTGAAAGAGGTCACTGTCCGTGATCATGTGGTTCAATCAGGTAAGGCATTTTTCAGAACAGTGAGAATGAATGAATTTCATGCTCCTGAGGCTATTTTTTTGAACTACTCACAAGTGACCTTTGGGGGAGGATTGGGTAATGACAGTTGGGGAATTTGAAATTACTGGTTGTGCCATGGTTCTTAGGTAGACAGTAACTGCAGAAACAGTCACAGAAACAACTGTGTGCTTTGAGAAATAAGTCAAAGCAAAATTTTGAATAGACACAAGAAAAGGAAAAAGAAACATAAAAAATGGAATCATCTTTGATTTTTAGAGATGAACTGATGAGCTTCTGAAACCATTTAGGGAGCAGCAAAATGTTTCGTAGGATTATGGGGATCAGTAGTGCATAGTGATTAAGAAAACTAAGTAAAGGAGTCAGCTGACCTAAGTTGGATTTCAGTCCCAGATGCTTGTGGACTGTATATCAGTGAATTCATACACAACCAGGGTAAGGCATTAATGACGGTTACACCAGCCTCACTCTCTGCCCATGAGATGTGGAAAGCATGGCAGTACCCTTAACCTAGCCTTGGGCTGGTTAAGACAGACTTGAAATACTGTGCGCACATAATGCTTTCAGTATAGTATTTCGGATGAAATGAATGGTAAGTAAATATTAACAAAAGGCAGCCGTGTTTGCAAACATACACAAAGTACTGTGATTAGGTTAGCTTTGGAAGTACTTGGGTAAATTAATTTAAGTTGGTATTAAAAACAGTTTTCAGAACCTTTAAAATATTTGCAGGCTCCATGAATATGAGAGGGTAATAAGGTATTTTGAAATGACTCGAACATACAAGTCCTTTTTTTCTGAAAGTGTCCCCCCAAAACTGGTGTTTCTCAGATGGTTCTCTAATAAATATAGATGTAGGCTCTAAGACCTTTCCATACTTTTTTCCCAAAGTAGCCATTTGTGTTTAGTAATCCTCACACCATCCTGTTTATGCAAAAGGTATTTTAATATTAAGGCTTTCCGTGGATGCATCAAAATGGCTTAATTTTTAAAATTATGAGGTAAGGTCCACAGTGCAAATCACTGACTTTCCAACCATTACAACATTCACTCTCTAATTTATCCAGTTCCTCATAATTTGGGAAATTTTGTCTTTCTGTATTCATTTTAGAAGCCAGAAAATGTGTTAAGGCCATTTTTATTTGATAACACTGTCTCAATTCTTTATCCCAAAATCATAATTTTGGAGTCTATTGGTAACATAGTATTTTACTGAAACAACTAAGAAAAACATTTAATTGAGGATCAACTGTACGGTTGACAGGTGAGCCTAAGAGATCCTTTTATGGAGCCACTTAAAATTTCTGCTCTCCCTTCTATTTGAGTACTTACTATTCATTCAATTTTTTTTTAAATGCCACAATTAGAAATCCTACAAAAGGCAGGTCAATTTGTCCTCTAGGTTTTCAAATGGAAAACAAAGTAAATTCCGTTAGTATTCTGAAATTATCATTGGAAAATAAATAACTATGACTACAATAACATTTATAAAGTAATTAGTGAATATGGGAAGCAAATCACTCAGAGTATCAGAGAGTTGTTAGAAAACAAGCAGACATTCTGCTTAAAATGATTAAAGCGCATTTCTGAAGTAAGCTGGGGTAGCTCCCGTGTCTTCTGCTAATCGATAATGTGACACAGATGTCGCTAAGGTAATGCATCCTCCCTCACCCCAGCTCCGAGCAAACCTCCTTTCTGCTCTCTTCCACTATTTTGAAATGGGACCTGATCATCATTCCTTACCCACCGCGTCTCTCGTCCCTCTCCATCTGTAGCCCAACCTTCTGTTCCAGGCCCGCTTCAGCACCGAGACAGGGGTTCAGGATGTGATGAGGTTCCGGGGTTCAGCAGGGTATGAACGTACCAATAGTCTTCCTTTGCAAAACACTGCGTGTTCCCGTTGTTTTATTTCTCTCATTAATGATTTTCAGATTCCTTTGCCTGATCAACCACAGCGCCCTCGTTTTCACTTGTTCATAATTTGTTGATTTGTTCATTCTGTTTCATTTTGTTCTGGGTCTTTAGGCCAATGCTAACTCCCTATATTACTTTTGGCCACATCAGCACATAAAGGCCACGCGCAGATCTATGTATAGTGTGTAAGGAGCACATGTCGTGTATGTGTGCATTTGAGATCCGAAAAGGAGTGAAAAGCATTTTTCTTTTATGCCGATAGTGATAGAATTTAATGTTACATTTTTCATGAATTTATGTTACAATTACCGCGTTCACAGATTCACAGATTTCAACTCGGTTAATTATAAACTGTTCCTGAAAGACCTAGTACACGTCCTAGATGCATTTCAAAGGTGAGGATTCTGTGGTTAGTAAACGACTAGAAGTATGTCAGGTCCAGCCTTAACATATTTGTGAAGAGATTTTATCAGATTATTATTATTTTTTTCTCTCTCGAGATGCTCCCTAGTCAAGGGAAAGAGTGGATCACAAATCTAAGCTGAATTCACTTAGTATCTACTCACCTGTGGTATGGCAGTGACAGGCCGTTCAAACTCTGCATGCCTCATTCTTTGCTTCTGAAGGCCAAGGGGGATAATAACAGTTTCCTCACAGCGCTGCTCTGAGAACTGACTAATCAGAACACCGGAGGGTTTTGAGAAATTCTTGACACCGGTGAGTACTGTGTAAGTAAGTGTTATGGGGTAGGTTCCCCTAAAGAGGAAGTGGAGAATTCAACTTGGACTACCAAACAGGCTCACTGAGTTTTGTCTTGGGAAAAGGATTTCAGAATGCATCAAAGTGAGGCATAGGCAGGTTTTTAGGCAAAGTTAGGATGAAGGGAAGCATTAAAAAAAAAAAAAAAAAAAAAAAAAAATTTTAAATTTCAAAAAAAAAAAAAAAAAAAAAAAAAAAAAAAAAAAAAGATTTCAACTTCAGTAACTACAGAGATCATACTGGTGAAGTTCAAAATGGCTCACTCCCCGGAGAACACATCAGGGTTTAAGGATCATTGGAGGTGAGCTATGGTCTGCTTGATCATTATCCCATTTCTGGGTGTCCACTCCCATGAGCTGACTGCCCCTGCTGAAGAGAGTGAACTCCTCTCATTGTGGTCTCTGAGCTTCTTCTCTCCTGGAACTCAGGTGTGTACAGGGTTAGAACAATGGCTGGAGACTTCTAGGCATTGCTCTCAGGGTGGTAGCGGTGGTGGAGGGAGGTGAACTGCATGTTGTAAAAGCTGGTAATGTCCCTAAATCCTGAAAACTAGGTATCTTCGTGTCCTTAGTCTTGGATGAAGTACAATAGACAAATTTAGGACTGATAAAACTTGTTCTACCAATTTTCCCAAAATGGTTAATGTTTTTTGCACGCAGAGCAGGAATTGGACTTAGAGTTTCAAGGTAATAAGTGGGATAAAATATTGAGTTTCCTTGTCTCCTTTCTACCTATCTGTATTTAACCTACATCAGCTCCCTTCTCAATCTCTCCTCTTAGTTTTAGCCCCACATGTCCCACTGTGTGCTGGATAGCTCCACTTGGATATTTCACAGAGATCTCAGACTCATTCATAAAACTCAGTTCATAATCTCTTGCCTCAGATCCACCCCATCCACAAATTCTGCTTCTAAAACCATATTAGTTCCCTGAGTAAATATTAATTCATATAACTCATGGAGCTTTCAGGATTTCTGTTATGGCCTGCATGGCTGACAGGTTTGTGCAGTGAGAAATGATGTTTTTTCCACATGCCCTGATACCCAGTTTATGTAGACGGTAACTGTTTAGATATGTCTCCTTCTAATTCACTTGCCAACAGGTAGTCCAAGCACCCTTAGTCTCTTACCTGGATTACTTAGCTTCTCAATTAGTTTTCTCAAATTCATGCTTTCCCCCGGGATACAAATTCAATCATATTGCTTTCCTACTTAGTGTAGTCAGTGGCTGCCCATTGTTTTTAAAATATAGACCTAAATCCACAATATAGAAACATCTCCAAATGTCTAGATACTGTTGCTCTCAGGAGACTTATGTGTTTTTCTGGCTCCTTTTCACATTCAGTGTTTTGTTTCGATCCATTGGATGATCCATTATTCCTTTTGCCTGAGGAACCTATTCCTTTTCAGAACAAATACATTATGCTCTGTATTCGGAATGGTCCCTCTAGTCTTTCACACAATAGATCCACCTTCTCTTCCTGATCTGGGCACCGACACCTACCTGTCCTTTAGCAAATATTATCTTGACTTCCAAAAAAATGCAGGTATTCCTTTTAGGACTCTGGACTTGCCTTCGTATCTGGCATCACAAGAAAATGAAATTGTATGGAATTCTTAGAAGAGTTGCAATTTCCCCAGCAAAAGTTTAGTTCCATGAGGAAAAGGCCCTGTTTTATTCATAAATATATTCAGACATAGTTAAAATATTTGTATGTGCAAATCACACGGAGGCAGCTGCATCAAAATGTTATGACCAAGAAAAATATTATAATATTACAAGTAGGAAACACACCAATATTTCACTATATAAACTCCTGGTGAATTCTCTAGGATGTGTTTATTGAATGTAATTGAATTAGTCATTAAGGCTACATCGAGTTTTTGAAAATAAACTATACAAATAGCTGAATCCTGCTGCCCAAAAGATGATTTCTGTTTTGGAAGAGTTGTTTTGAGTCACTGTTTCCAAATTGCATTAAATGGAATGATAAGTGATCTACAATGGCTATTTATTATTTAAGACACTGTAACTATCATCCATTTGGAAGACAATACTTATTTTCCTGCCAGCATTACAGTAGACCTTGAATCTTGTTCTGCAAAATATGATTTCATGTTACTAGCATAACCACTTTTGCAAAAGGGGAATCAGTCTAAGAAACAAAAATTTATAAACTTGTGTCTTGTACCACTTCAGTATTCAACCCTTACCCTTTTAATGACATGTATACTCTGTAAAACTCATTATCCAGGAGCTCACTTTGAGATTTTATTATTTATCGCACCATTACTTGCCCTCTGAAATCAGACTGATGGAAACTTAACAGAGAAACAAAAGCATGCTAGATATAATCTCACTTTGGTCCTAACAGATTTTTTCCTACAATGTTAACAATAGTCTTTACTGATGTATCTGCTTAAATTTGGCCTCTTTCTTGGATATATGCTGTCCTGATAAACTTAGATTAGCCAACGTTTTGTAAAGGAAACCAAATACAACTTAATGGCTGTGTCTAGAAAATTGATAAGACTGTAGAAGGTTGATCCTTTCTGGAAACAATGACCGCTTCTAGGAGCCTATGCTTAAGTTCTTTATCAATAAGGTCATGTTATTTTAAGGCAATATTTTAAAACTTTCACTGGAGTGGACATTGAACCATCTGCATAACAAAAACTCTTCACAGGACAATCTTGTAAAGTTGAGTTTCATAACCAATTGTGGCATTGCTGTTATTATTCCTAGCAACACATCAAAAAAAAGCTTGGGACCAAGGGAAATTCTGAATGCTTCTTCTTCAATGTAAATCTAAAACACATATACTTCTCAGTTTCTAAAATTAATTGAAAGCTATGACATATATTTTAATATTTCATTCTGCCCCAATTCCAAAGACTGAAGTTACTCTACAAAGTGGTTCTCTGATTTCTTTAGTGATTTTTTAAAAATTGAGATAAGGTCTCACTATGTAGTTCAGTCTGGCCTCCAATTCAGGGCAATCCTCCTGCCTCAGCCTCCCAAATGCTGGGATTATAGGCATGTGCCACCATATCCAGCTCACTTAGTGAATTGCTTTCGGTAAGTCTCTGATAAGAAAATAGTAAATCTACAAAAGAAAATGTGTTTATTTGTTACGAAAGAGAAAACAAGTGCATTTACATATTCTACCAGTGCATGGTTGATGTTTGAAGACATAGGAACATTTGTCATGTTTTAAATATCAACGTTGTGTAGATGTAAAAAGACATAACATGGAACCCCATAAATATGTAACACTTTATAACTTCATATCTGTATTTGCTTAAAAATAAATTTTAATTTAAAAATATAACCTTCTCTTGGACAAATTTCAAAATGAGAACACTCTAGGATTTGTTTTTTAATCAGCAGAGATAATGCCTCAGCAATTATACCCCCGTACAAACTCAAGTGGTTTTTGCACAGTCCTTGAGTAACATTTTCAGTGTTCTTGAGCCAAGAATTTATTCATTTTTCAAAACTTTCAGTGCTACCCCCAGATTCATTTTTCTTTGCTTCTCCAAGAAGTTCTTAGTTCCCTCTTCTTGCAAAGTGATTTCCCTAGCTAACCACATGACAAGGGAGAATTTTACCTGCCGCGGTGAATTAAATTCAGAGAGGACAGTGAAATATACAACCAATCATTTATCATACTGATAAAGCAACAAAACCACTACCTCCATTCTCAGAACACTCCACACTTCCATTAATACCAACGCTAGAGGATAAAGCACAAAAATGATAAATTAAACTCTTCATTCATTTTTCATACTTAGACATCCTCCATTTATTTTCCTCTTATGATTACTTTTGTGTGTTTATTTGCTTTACTTTTTCTTCCCCTACAATTACATTATATACTCCTTTATGAATACCTGGTTTGGGGGGAAAGAGGGGATTTTTCCAAGTTAGTATTGCCATTTTCAAGATTGTTCAAGGCCATCCCTTTCTGTTAGTGAAAAATCCTTAAAAGAAAGCAACGACTTTATTTCAATACTATTATTTCAGTGTGATATACAATGAAAAGATGCTAACCTGTTACTGGCATACGAATGTACTACTATCATTATTGAAAATTATAGCCACAAATCTTCAGAAGTTAATCCTGCTTACCATGGACAGCATCCAAAATCTAATATGTTTATATGTATTTATCTAAAATAACAAAAAAAAAACTAAATTCCACAATATACTAATTCCATATCTTTGTCTGTCTGCTAGAAAGATAAATACTTCAGGTGATTGGGGGAGAAAGCAAAAGGGACAACATTACAGGCAGAACAGGTCCTACGTGTACTCTTCTTTGTGAGTTTTCTGAGTGTGATGGAGTCTATTGTAACCCCTTACAACTCCTATTACTCAGACCACTTGTTAAACCTGTTTCTTCCGGGAGACATGCAGGAAATTCACTCCTAATCCACTAGGATGTAGGTACTACTGTGGGATAACAACGGGTCAGAAGTTGTTGACTGTGATGGTTAATCTCGGGTGTCGAGGTGACTGGCTGTGGAGATGCCTAAGAAGCCAACAAAACACATCCGTGAATGAGTCTGTGAGGGATTTCTGGACCCAGCCTGAACGTGCAGAGACCTGTCCAATAGGCAGGGGCCTGGGTGGAGCAAAAGTTGAAGAAGGAGGAAGACAGACTCCACGTGTGAGCTCCGTTTTTTCCGGCAGTGTTGTGGAGTTTGCTCCTACTATAGCCCAAATACATTAAACTGCAGCTTTTGTGGCTTCTAAATGTAGAATCACGTTAGTGACTTTCCAGAGACATTCCAGCTTTTCATCCTAGGACTGGGGCTGCATCATTGGTCTGTCTTGCTCTGAAGTTTCTGGCTTCTTTAAGGACCCATTGTTCTCAGCTCTCCAGATTGCAGGCAGCCATTGTGAGCCCGCCCAGCCTTTGATCCTGTAAACCAATACAACTTCTTTTATAATGATTGTGATTCTATTGGTTCTTTTCCTCTGGAGAATCCTGACTCATCTAACCTTCTGTGTTATGTAAAGATGAATGCTCCTGGTGTAAGAAAACGATTATGCCTGACTAGGAAGATTTAGAAGCTATAAATACTCTAATAGTGCTCCCCAAATATATTGTGAAGGTTACTTTGATAAACTTATCAAAATTCTTAAAGTCCACAATCTCCTGTAGGATCACAATCACAAATACTTACATAGTGATTTGGGCATTACGGACTTTAAATGTTCTCTAATGCTTCTGAGACAGGTTAACTTTTGAGAAACGATGCTGGCGGTGTGGTCAACCCTATGAGCACATTAAAACTACCTAAGAAAATTTTAAAATGTCACAATACCTAGGATTCACCCTAAAACATCTGGGAGTGGGTTTTTTTCGTATTGTTGAATCTCCAAGATAATATAATTACCTACAGCCAAAGCAGTAAGTCACAATTTGATCCAAAATTCTTTGGTGTTATGTTTGTTTGAAATAGATAGCTAGGCCTCAGAGCTATAAGGCATACTTATATTAATTTCTTGTCCTGGCTATCCTCATCGTAATATCATCAAAACTATTGACTATAGGTATCTCAAGTGCAGTTATTTTCTCAAACTACATTCTATCTGAAATTTATTTTCTCCCTTTCTTGTAATCTACTTGCAGTACCCCTGAAATCAAAACCCAATATCTCCAGTCAAATTCATTTAAAAAGTTATAAAGGTATATTCCTAAAAGATTTAGAAAGAAAAATTATTTGCTACTCTTTAATATAATGTCTAACCACATCAATAACTTTTTTGAGATGTTAAACTGAATATAATTAAATCTTATTTTCATATTTTTCTCCCAAATAACATATCCCAACAGGTTTAGTATATCCTTTTAAATCATCTCATTATGAAATATTGCATCTTAAAGTGTTTCATTAACTGCAATAGCTTATTTAGATGTAAGGTGTTACTATTAAATGTAAGTAAGTTCCTGGAAGACAGAGAATACGTTTCTTTGCTTTTGTATCCTAACATTTCAAAAAGCCCTGGGAAATTCAAGCTCAATTATCTTATTTTTAATAACATTTCACTGATTAATTAAATTTACTTTAAAATTAAAGTCAACGTAAGTAGAATTTTGAAAAGTTGATTTTAATAACTGAGTTCCATTACAATAGACACAGGATCATGTATAAAGTACAATGAATGTAAAAGAAAAGTAGTAGGATATTTGCAAAAGTTGATGACAAAATAATAGATATAATGATAATTCGAAGATAAAAGATTATGTGACAAAATATGAAAACGTTTTCATTTGAAAGTATATCACTTATGTCTTTATTCAAATGAATAAAAAGGAGGACAAGGAAAAGAAGAAACAGAGGAAGAAAAAGGTAGACATAATGAATCCATTCCCCACTCTAGGCTAAACAGTGTTTTGTCCAAGAGTAGTTTGACCAATAGTTCTAACTCCCTAATAAACTATGAATAGCTCTAGAGTTGAAATGTAAAGTCATGAATATTTGGAATTAAATTCTATTTATGTTCTCCATTTTCTGTGTGATTTTAATAAGTTTAAGTTATTTTTCTGAGACAATTTTTCTTATATAGGTTAGCATGGAATTTACACAAGGTGAAATATTTATTAGCTTGTAGAGTGCCTAGGTTAAAATAGAAACTCAAATAATTTGAGTTTTCCTCCCTCTTTTCCCTTGAACATATTCATATATACATATAAGTAAAATGATAAATTTGATTATACTTAAGTGTATTTCAGTCTATTGGTGAAAGCAGTATTTAGAACACAGTATCAATATTTCAACTTTTTTTCCATTGAGTTTATTGGTACATTTTAGGTATACAGTACAGTTACATTCATTATTGGGATCCTGTACCTTCACATGACAGGTCTTGGTTCTCATTTTTTCCCCTTGTTCCTGCCCTCCCTTCACCTCCTCCTCCCCTCCCCATTTACAAACACTTTTTTTCCATTTTTTCATTTTCTCATCTTTTTTTCTTTTCCCTTATTACCTTTCCCCTACCCTTCCCACTTTCCCCACCCCTTTAGCCCTTTTCTTCCTATTTCACATTGTCAGTTATATCATTATGATCTTATGTACTATTATAGTTTTTCACACCAGAGAAACTATTCGTTATTTACACGTGTGTAGCTTATTTATTCATTCATAGGAAAATGGATACATATTGAGGATATACTCCTAAGTGAAATAAACAGTATCAATAGTTTAATAGCTTTCTAGACATATTGTTTTATAAACTTTTCTTTTAAAGATTATTTTCTGTGTACTCTTACCATTTGCTATTTCATACTTGTGTGACAGAGAGAAGTTTATGAGTTGAAATAATGTTGAACTCTACCTCATTCATTTACTATTTCAATATTCAGAGTTTTACCATTACCACCTGTAAGGCATTGGTAAAGAACTGTGGAAAGCGTTAATCCCCCATCCCTTCCTAGACCATTGTATTTGAAAAAGGACAGTGATTCAGAGTAAAGTAGTTCCTCCTTATATTTTATCAAGATCTCTTTGACCTTCTCAAGAACGTTTGGGCTCTGAAAGAAATAATTTTCCCTTACTTTGATGTGCAGTGCAAGTTGTCTTAAATAATTTGTCCTGAAGATCTTTTTGCAGAAACAAAACCAACACTAGCAAAGGCTATTTCCCATTATCAGGATGGAATGCCTGGGACTGCAGATGAGAAAGTGATTTATATAAATGAAAGAATATCCCAACAGCACATAGAAAATTTTTCAAGGGAGCCTCATGACCTGGATTATCTCTGCTTGATATTTCACAAGAAAACAAAAACTAAGTTGCCCTTCCCTAATTTTCAGCAATATTTTGAATATCAACTAAAAAGAGATTCATGTCTTTTAAAATAAAAGCATCTCAATACATTCTGAACATCTCATGTTGGTCAGTATTTGTTGGATTTAGGAATATATCAAATTGGAAATGGGAGGAAGGATAGAATATGAAGACTTAGCTTTATTTTTGGTTTTACTCTCTGAGTAGTTAACTGTGTGTTTCTGAGTTGAGAATGGTTCATGTATAAAGTGAGAAGACGGGACTGTAGGACTTCAAGTAGCATTTACAAATTTCAGCGTCCTGAATGCAATGTGACATCATTTGTTCATTTCCTCTATTCAGCATTTGCTTTGGAAATCTCTAAATCATTGATCATTGTTTTGATATTTGAAAACATATTGAACTTGTCCTACAGTATTAAAAGCTTACTATCTCTAGTTGCAGAATTACAAATACACTCCAGTGATAACCAGGCTATTTAATCTAAAACAAGCATATGCTTGGGCATTACTCACAAAACTGAGAAGGAGATGAAAGGGATGGCCCAGTGGGCTTGAATTCATTAGGTTCTACCTAAGAAGGTTTTACATACCTGCACCTGCCGTGAAAGAATAGGAGAATTCAGTCTCCCCTTTCCTACCCTTCTGAAAAGCAGAACAAAATGCCATTGTTTAATGTTTAATGAATTCCTACAGGTAGATCGCAGAAGCCAATATATAATTAGCAAGGTCAACACAGAAGAAAACTCTAGAGGTCCAGGAGAGTATTGAGTATTACTTAGGAGGAAGTAAAATGCTAAAATCTATTAAACATTACGGATGATGCTGAGCATTTCTCTTGAGATAATATAAAGGTTGGGGTTCTTTCTTGACAGGTTCCTTTTTTTACCTCCAGATCCTTAAGGGAAGTAAGAAAACGTGAGTTTGTCCTATGGGGGGAAAATTAAAAGGGAAGACTAATGGCTATGTATTAAAGAGTTCAAAAAAATTGCAAGGGATTTTTTGTCAAGACAAAACAACCCATCTTTCGACACTTCAGGGAGCTGAACAGCAAAAAAGAGAAATAGGAGAGAAAGGCAGATAACACAGAATTCCAGTGTCATTCCTAACAGAACCATGGGTTAGGAATTTGGAGATTCCAGGAGGGGTATCCTAGGACTGAAAATGCGGTTCATCCTCAGGCCATGTCCAAGGAATGAAGGAGATGTTATATAGAAAACAGAGAGGCAAAAAAGAAGGAAACATATAAGGATGCCTTATTGGATGAGACTTCTTCTAGAGCAAGTATTTCTATATGCAAATATTCTTTATATACAATGGTGTACAGAGGTGTATACATACTCCACATATGTGAATTTGTGTGTTGTGTATTCATGTAGGAAGCATACTCTATACCTTAATTTTTGTAAGTAACATGTTGTGAGGGTGATTTTTCATTACATGTAGAGTAAGCATTGATTCTACTGCCTGTTGAAGTATTTATTTTAGCCATGTACTAGCAAAATATTTTCATCTAGTTACTTTTACATTGTCACTTACTGTTTTGTTACAATATTTTGCCATCACACACCAATTCAAAATAAATATACTTAGAAAAACTGTTTATATACGTATATGAAGGATAAAGTTCTAGAAATAAAATGCAGAGCTCAATGACTGCATTTTAATACAAATTGCAACAGTATCCTTATAAGACTTGTGCTCTTTACCACTCTAATTGCGATTTTGATCATTTATTTATCCATATTCTTGCCCAAAACAGAATGTCATCAAACTTTCTTTTTTTCGGTGATAGCTGAAAATGCTACAGTGTGAGTAAAAATGAGCACATCGTTATGTTTTTATAAACTCTTTGAATTTCTGGATGTAATTATAATAAGTTTATAAAAGTGTATAAAGTTGTAATTTATCCTTTAATCATTTATTTATAATTAATGATTTGAAATTTTCATTTCTCGGCCTCAATTTCTTTTTGAGTCCTGGAAAAATTTGTATTTCATCCAGTCATATGTATTTGCATTGTGGCTTCCTGAAAGTGGAAATTAGGAAGAGGTCCTATTTTTTTTTTCATTTCTGATGTTTATGCTTCCAAATATAACTATGGATTCACTGGACTTTCTGTTAGCCTTACAAAATACTTCAGTAGATTTACTTACTTCAGAAACATGAAATGGAGCTCATTTTGCCTGATGTCTGTTGGAGCAAACAGAGTTATCAATCTCTAAATAAAGTGTTTTTAAATTTCCTAACCAAATTTGGACATATATAGTATCCTTTCATGTCCCAGACTGATACCTTCCAGAATATATACGTTAATCTATGAGTGAGCTAAGTTATTCCTAGAAAAAGTACCTTCAAAAGTCTTGGGTTGGGACAAGGAATAAGGTAATTAGGGTGTGAGTGGATTTTTTTCTAGTACTGGTTAAACTATTTTGAGGCTCATATCGTGTGTTTTTAATCTTTATTTCTCTACTGCCAAGCAAAGCAGTTTTCTTCCTTCTTGCCTCATGGAGAAAATGCTTCCTACAGATATGGCATATTTCCTCCTATGAAACTAATCTAAAAAAGCGGCCATTGTTGTGGAAGGCATTGGCAAGTGGCACACACATAGAGACTAGCTGAATGGAAGTAAAATAATAAAAAGTTTATTTTGCCAGCAAAGGTCAAATCACACTCAAAAAGGCAGTGTCAGTGATCGACCTCATATTGGGTTGCAGCTTTCCCTTTTATAGGTTTTACAGCTATGATCTCATTCAAGTGATTATATTTCATTTCCTCAGTTCACATTACCCATGTACAAATTACAGAAATAAGACAGTTAACTTTAACCCAGATGTGACAATTCCTTGTAGTTAGGGAGTTTACCCTAAGATTCATCCAGCTATCTATTCTAGTACACAGGAAGGGGATGTTCAAGGTTAGGGATGAGGACAGATATCCCACTTCATGGCCAATGCCTCTGGTGTCTGTTACTTTTGAACTAAACAAAGCAGATTGCTATTAAAGACACCAGAAGTCATTTTACATTTTCCTAACATTTTGTAGCTTATTAGATTATTTACAAAAATAAAGTTCTGTATCACCATAAACAAATTGCGGTGCCTATGTCCATTGTTGCAAAAAAAAAAAAAAAGGGCTACTAATTTTAACTTATAGGATGAATCAACTCCAATCGAATCAACTCCGATCGAATCAATTCAGATTGAATCAACTCAGATCAATTCAACTCGGATCAAGACTGGCTTCATTTGGGAACTTCAGTTGTACACATTTCTTCTAATGTCTCCTATTTTTATTAATAATGCTGTCCATTACTTGGGAGAGGACAAGGGTGTAGCACCAATTGACTTCATTGTCTTGTCAGCCACTTTTTACCAACTTTCAATGGTGTTTATTATTTATCTCAGAAACACATCACAAATTTGTTTTATGAGAATAGTTTAGGTTATAAGAGGGAATATATATGTATTTATTTTTAATTCAGGATTGAAAGAATGTGATTAACATAAAATAAACAGGAGAGACTGAGATTACAAAAAAATGTATCTTTAGCATTTTCAGTTTAGTTTTGTCAAATTAAATCTATTTTTTTATTCCAAAAAATATTTCTTGGTGCCCAGTACACACACACACACACACACACACACACACACACACACACACACAAACCATAATAAATATCATTGTGTTCTTGCAACTTTCCTGATTCCTTTGTCCTCTACCTTTTTTTTAACTCTTTTTTTAAACTGCATAGAAATTTCCTAAAGATATACGTGTCCAAGTTACACTCTAGACTTAGCAAAATACAATCTCCAAGGATGGAGCCCTAACAAAATATTTTAACGAAATACTTGGGTGATTCTGATACCCAGGCAATTCTGAGCACCACTTTGATAGATTATGCAATCTGAAGGCACTGAAAATTTTGAAGTGTCTTTCAAATTAATTTAATCATATATACATAATACATTATATATATATTCATATTCCAAGTATTGTGTATCATCACTGAGGCATAGAAGCTGACCTTGAAAAGCAACAGTAGTCATTTTTCCCATTAACAAGTAGCAGAGGGACAAATACTGACCCTTTACAATGACCTGTACTTTTTCTGCTATAACAAAACTGCCTATTTTGCTTTAGGTGTTCATTTCTCTTAGGTTGGTGCCTCTTCTATGCTTCAATCTTCACTTAATCCTCTGGCATCTGAAGTCTTTTCTTTATTTGATGCGTCTTTCCACTACCAGTCATTCCTACTTTACCATATCCTCAACTATCAAATATATGCAGTCACACTGGGATCTTTCAGTGTCCTCAGTAACCTGAGTACAGAGACTGGGGTGGTTCACATCACCTTTTTGTAGTGGAGCTGTACTGATTGTTAAATATTTTGTCTATCACCTCTGAATAAATCTTAAGACTCCAAAATGCTCATATGAAATAGATAAGCTATAGTAAATTCCTTTGAGAATCTATAAAAATGAAATATATATGAGATAGATATTAAGGTCCTATTGAGTTCAGGATACCCATTATACAATATTTCTCAGTGCTGTTTACTACAGTTCCATCTTTTTTAATACATGTCTTTTGTATTAAAGTACATTAAGAGTACAAAGGAGAGACACAGAACTGTCTTTAATAGAACAAAAAGTATACACAGTCTATGATCTTAACAGCCAATTTAAACCTCTTTCCTCAAAAGTAATGTTAGGGGGCTGGGGATTTAGCTCAGTGGTACCGCCTCCTGTCTCACAAGCACAACCTCCTGAGTTCAATCCCTGGTACCAAAAGAAAAAGAAAAGAAAAAATAATGTTAGGACTATTTGAATACATAT